TCCCTTGGCCGGTGGTATCCCATAGGGTTCATAGAGTGCACCTTAAGAATTTTGCAGTGATCAGAGAAGGGAATTAGTGTAGACAGAGGCAACTTGTGCATGGCAGTGGACTTCCGAGTGGAGCCGAGCGCGCATGCATTAGGTCCTCTTCCCGAGGCTGTTTACTGCTTAAATTAGCTTAATTAATTTGCTTAATTAGTTAATTGTCTGTAATATTTAAATAGCTCAATTAGTTAATTAATTGTATTGTTCTTTTGGTCCCTCCGAGTGAGGGTGAATTTGTAATAAGTGTGGGTGTGTGTGTGCATGTCTTCCAACCCCCACTTCTTTCTCCCTTTTACTTACCTGCTTTTGACAGTTAGTATTAGGGCATATTTAAATTAGCATACCTTATGCCATGCATGCGTGCATCATTCATCAGTATTGCATGCACTGGGCTCGACATATCATACTAACTACATACTACTTCAAATCTAACTTGAATACATGCTATCTGCGTATTCCACATGCCACTCTTAGATCAGCCGAGCCTATTCTAGTGACATTCTGTATGCGATGCATTAGTCATTTCAACATGAACTAGGATCATACACGATTACTAACTAGTTCATTGTTTTGGCACGGAGTACTAGGTGAGCATTTATGCTTTAGCATCTCGCATGAGTGTGAATGTTAACATGACAACATACTTACCATGTGGCTAGATGCTTACATGATATAACTGCATAAATGTCTGTGGGTGAAGGGTGGATTGTTTGAGCTGGAACAACTCGTTGAAATCCGTGTTTTAGCCTGCTTGCGAGTAGCAAATTGCAACCATTTTCCAAACAAACGGATATGCGGTGCTTTGTTCCAAATTAGGCAATCTAGTCTATACTTTTGTGTTGTGCGCATCATATAGTAAGATTAGCTAATTAATCGGAATAAGAACACATAACATTTTTAAAACAAGATATCATGGTTAGTAGAGGCCGATCTTTGATCGGGCGAGCGGGGGTGCTCATAGCTGACCTTCCCCAATCGTACCCAAGTTCCCGAGCCGAGGCAACTTTGGTGATGACGGACACGTGGCCTTAGGCAAACGAGTCAGGGTTTCCTAAATTCCCCCAAAATATAATATTTAGGTGGCGACTCTATATCTGGCAAAGCAGTCTATGTTTGGCACTTCTTTTTCTAAAAATCTGTTTTCTCAAAAACGATTTGCCGGATTTAGACTCTTTGGTTCAGATTAAGAACCGTGACACAAATCGAGTCTGAACTGTAGCACCGAGGCCCTCACGCGGGGCGCGTGTACAGTTTCTGGCGACTCTGCTGGGGAGTTTAGAGAACTTGACTCGAACTCATGATATCTTGTTTTAACTACACTTATGTGTTTCCTTGCATTGCATGTGTATTGGTGCGCCTAGGACACCGTGTTTGCCGTCTGCTATTCCTGAGCGGTTAGCCTGAGGCTGCGTGCCATAAGGTTTGACCGGTTACGGGCTCTGCCAGTATGGGAACACAAACCCTTTTTGACCATTTGACCTAGTGCATATTCGGAATCCATAGTGACCATTCCAAACTAGGACAGGTTGCTTACCCGATGATAGGTTGTTTGAAACCGCTGCGTGTGTAGTGAAACCCTAACTCTTGACAAAATAGGACAGGGAAACCCTATCCCAACATAGGGGTGTTTTGGTTCTCATTTACTTGCTATGTGCTTTTAGAGTATATCTCTGCAATGAATGTGCATATCAGTTCGCCAGTTTAAGTATCAAGCCTGAGGGCATCAGTATTAGTGTTTTGGGGAATCAGTTATATCTGCGGGTATCAGACTCAGTTTTGGGACAGCGATTTTGGGGAACATTGATCAGTAGTAGAGTACAGTTATTCAGTCATGTCTATTTCGTCTGGGCTGAACTACTGCTTGTTTTCCCTTTCAGGTTCAGAGATTTGCGTTCAGAGACTTGGTGTTCTCCTTCGCTAAGGTAAGACAGATATCTGATCCATCAGTCACTGTTCAGTTCAGCGGACTTATGATGACCCAAAGTTCAGAGGAAATTATGGTTTTGGCAGCCGCGTTAGACCAAGGGATCATCTTGCAAGATGAGACCAATGTTGATATACCGCATCGGCCCAAGTCGCCTACCGCACACCCGATCTGGACCCCCCAGTTGTATCAGGCTCGTGAGCCTACCACGTTTGAGTTAATGGGAATGATCGGCGACCTCCAGAGATCCGTGACCGATCTGACCTATGGAATGTCGGCTTCGCCACCAACCACATCATATGCCTGGAATTTTGTACCACAAGAGCCCCTGTTACTGGGGCGGATTGTGATCGAGCTCAGCCAACCAGAGGTTGCCTCCGGCTACAGCAACGACGTGTCAACAACAACCGGGTTTCGCTCTGATGTAGTAACCCAAACCCTCGATCAGGCTGAGGCTAGAGGTAAGAACAAAGTGGGAACAGATGCTGATCCCGTTGGACAACTGCTATGGGCAGTCGAGGCTTTGAAAGCCAGGGAAATGAATAAGTAGCAAGTGTTCGCAGTCATGACTAAAGCCGTGGATGATGCTTTCCCCACTCTAACCGAAGGCAGTTCAAGCCAGGCGGAAAATCGGGATAGGCCCTGTCATGCCAAGACAGTTCCTTTCATTCCCAACCTTGCACCAGGAAAAGATCAGAAAGTCAAGGCAGTGCCTGCCGACCCTTTCGCTAGTGCGTCTAGCAAGAACCCTCAAACTTCGAAGTACCTGCCTCGAGGGCACAGAGTCTTTCACGCCCTCTACATGCCTTTGTCTAGGGCATTTCAAATTTTGGCTAAAAAGGGGCATCTTAAACCCCTCAAGCCTCAGCCTCTCCCGAAGAATCTCCCTCTCTTACATGATGCTACCTTATACTGCGCGTACCACCAACAGTCCGGTCACAGCACTAATGCTTGTTTCCGCCTCCGTCATGAAGTGTAAGATTTGTGTCACACCCCAAACTTGCCCCTAAAAGTTCGGGCATGACCCATTCAGAAACAGACATATAACCTGGTATATATAGCATATGGGGCCTTAACGGAAGCACAAAATATTAAAATAATAATAAGCTAAACAAATTCCATTGAGCTATTTCTAATATGCCAGGATCTTATACATCACATGCACCATAATAGACCGATAAGGTCCAAAAATATTTCTTAGCAGTTTATATATGTAACAACCCCCATACTGTTTACTGATTAATGACCGATTGATTACCGATAATCACCGATTACTGTTAAACGGAACTGATAATGACTGAACAACTGTACTGACTGATAATTGAACTGATTAAAAGTACTGAACTGACTGACTGAAATTGGAAACCGAATTGATTGAGTATATGTTAGTTAAATTGCATTCTATCTGTTTGACTGCATGATTATCTGTTCATACTTATATGTTTAAACTGCTAATTGAAGGCCTTATCGGCGGCCGAAATCGGAATTGATTAGTGTTCTATGATCGTCATAATTAATGTGATTTTAGGGTATAATTATTTGAAAACTGATTAGGTATGATTAAATTAGATTAAAATAAGCTAATTAAAGAGTTGGACTTAATTACCGCTTTGCCCTTGAGTGGGCCACTATCTCACACACCTTTGAGCCTTGTATACACTCACACACTTGAAACAAACATTTTGCTCAGTCATTTTCTTGCTCTAGCCGACCAAAAGAGGGAGAGAGTGAGAGAACTTGGAGAATTGCTTGGATCGAAGTGTAGATTTCACATTTGAGCCCTAAACTTTGAATACAAGACTAAGGTAGGAAACTCATCTTCTTATTGTTGCCATTAAGCTAGTTCTTGCATGATTCATGCTTCATTGTAGAACTAAGTCATGTTTTGGTTCATTGTTGTTAAATGAAGCTCAATTCTTGCATGCATGTGTTCTTGGTTGAATTTGGAGTTGAGTTCATGACAAAATGTTACATGCATGTTCACAACTATGTATGCCCATTCTGCACAGGAAAACAACATTAGCTACACAAGCAAAAAGAAACTACATGTCTAAGCCACAAAAAACTAATCTCTAAAAGAGTTTTCCTTCCAGTATTTTAATTGAAATGAATCCCAGAAGGTCAATTCAAAGACCACAAGTTTGGAAATTACAATCAAATTTGATTCCCCTGAGTTCAATTCACCTTAAAACTACCAACATAGAAATTTGCAACTAAACTGACAAACTTTCAATCATATCATGACAAAAAAGACAAGGATGTATCTATAATGAACATATTTTTTTCATCAAATTTTTTAATGTTAATTTTTTTTTCAACTTTATCATTAAAGAAAACTCTGAACAATAAGATAATTGCAAATCAGTAGTAGCCCTTGTCATGCTTATATCATTCAGGAACAAGAAGATTAATTTGATCTACCCTGCTAATCACCCATTCAAATATTTTAAAAGGTTGAGTTAAGTGTATATGTATCATTTTCAGCAACCAAAAAAAAAAAAAAATCTGAAAGAGTTTTCCTTCTGGTATTTAAATTGGAATGATTCCCAAAAAGACAATTCAAGGAGCAAAAGTTGGAATCATAAAGAAGGCAACCAACCCAAAAACAGAACAACTAAATTCGATTCCCTGATTGATTTGCTTGTCTTTGTACATTAGTAAAGAAACTTGAAGTCTAATGTACATTAATTAATTTAACATGTTCATGATTTAAATGTTAAAAATACTGCCGCCAATGGTTCTCGAAAGATAGAAATATACATGATAGATGAAATGTATGTTATGGAGTAGATCAAGGAGTTACTTGCCCACATAAATATATACATACATAGAGAGAGAGAGAGAGAGAGAGAGAGAGAGAGAGAGAGAGAGAGAGGGAGAGGGTGTACATTAATTAATTTAACATGTTCATGATTTAAATGCTAAAAATACTGCCGCCAATGGTTCTCGAAAGATAGAAATATACATGATGGGTGTTCTTCTAATTATGGAGCATATCAAGGAGTTACTTGCCCACATAAATATATACATACATAGAGAGAGAGAGAGAGAGAGAGAGAGAGAGAGAGAGAGAGGGAGAGGGAGGGGGGGATAGAGAACAACAATAAAACATGGGTTGGCAATGATTTGAATGTGAATATACTGATACCAAAATTTCAGTTTGGCTCAAGCACATCGACGAATTGGCAGCGGCAATGGGAAGGGGAAAAATATAGTTTGTGTACAGTGTTCCAGCTTCCCATCAACAAAAGACGTAGACATCTAAATAAACTCCAAATTCAATTCCAAACCTACGAAGAATTTTGTCTATCTTGTTTTGAAGAAGTTGGTGAAAAGTTCTGGCAATGCAATGAGCTTCGATGTTAGCTCCAGGACTTCCAATAAGTTAGAATGGTAACTGAAATCTATCCAGACCATTTCTATTCTGTTGTCCTCTAAACAGAACAGGTGTTCCTACAAAAATGAAAACATCATTCGACAAATGGAAAGAAACAAAATGAACCATACAAATTGCAAAATTGTATTATTGTCTCTTTCACATGTGGCTGACTATATTTATTAATGAAAGTCTAGCTAATAGACAAGTAAGCACGAAAAGGTCCAAAATTGAAATGGGTACAACAGCTAACTCAAAAGCCAAAAATAGAAGAATCCCACGTAACTGATTTCAGGTTATGTGTGAAAGCAATAAAAAGAGGCCAAAATTCCAATCCACTCCATTAACACGTCATAGTGAATGATAGCCCCAATATTTAATTCAAAAACAAAGAGAAGAGAAACTAAACATCATTGAAACAATTGAATGGTGAATAAGTGTGAAGCACCATAACCATAACACCTACCATGATGATAGAGTGAAATGCTTATGGATCACAAGCTTGGCATGTTCTCATTCGAAAAAAATTTAAAAACAATTAAAAAAAAAAACACCAAGGCTTTACATGTTCCCAAGGTTAAGGGCAAGATTACTTTTGTTGTACTTGTTTCTTTTATTATTCAATTTGTGCAGGCCTCACCGACCCACAGGTCCAACTCGCACTCATGATGATGGCTGAATTTTGTTTTTCATGCCATGTGTTTCTGCAACAAACAAGGAATTTCTCACTAGATATATATGTCTTCTGGATGGAATTGCTATTACACTGTTCTTCCCATCACTGCCGCTATACAACCGAAGGGGAAGCCAACCAACAGATTCCATGTATGCCGTCTAGAGAATTCTTTTCAGTAGTTATCAGATTTCAGATTCTAAAAATTCAAAATATTTCATACGCTTTGGCGATTTCAATATCGTGGATGTTATCACAGTTGTTTTCGACAACCAAATAACTTGGTATGTTATTTTTTAACTCCTTTACTATAATATGTTACTTTTTATTTCTGTTAACCTTCCTTTTTTTCTTGGTGGATTTTTGTCTTGTTGGTGTTTGATTGAACTACTACAATTTATATTTGGCTCACCATGTGTTTGACAATATGCCCAATAAAGACATGAAAATCATCTTTTTAGTCATGCATTCCTATTCACTAGTTGGAAAAGACAATGGAATTAATTTGTTTGCTTGTTTTCCCTGGTTGAAATTTCAGAAAAGAATATATTAAATACAATTATTTATGTTGTATAATATCCAACCATGTTATGTTCGTTCTTGTACCTTCGTCTGTATTTATGCATACTATGTGTTTGTCAATATGTCTAAACGAACCAAAGAGTATAATAACTTGATTTGGGCAATTTGATTGTGGTAATTTTTATTGAGTAGGAGAGTTCTATGATTAACTTAACTTCTGATTCTACTTTTTACTATCATTTTTGTATAGGTCGTTCATTGATTATATGTACTGATGTTTTGCTTTTGCTTTTTCTTTTTGCTTTTGCTTTTGCTTTTGCTTTTGTTTTTGTTTTATGTGGTGTGCTTTGGCATCCTTGAATTTCTGTTTGTCAAAAATAGATATCAGTCACGTTGTCAAAAATAGATATACATATTAGTGAAACTTCTTCAAAGTTTTAGTAGTGCTTAGAAGTTAGATGTTTCCACGTTTCTTGAAATATAGACAAGTAGTTAATGCAAAGTCAACAGCTGGAAAAAAAAAAATCCTCAATTCTTCTTTTTAATATATGTTGCATCCACTGTTGGTTTTCATAAAAACATAGCTTTTCCAATGTTGTATTTTTTCAAAATTCAACTAGACAAAGTCATTCTCAGAGATTGTGATTTTATGTGTGAATCCTTCCTTACCATTTCCTTCAATCTTTGCATAATTTTGTTAGATCATAATACGGAAGTAAAAAAGTTAATGGTGATCCTTCATTGTCCTTCTCTAGGTTTTTTTTTTTTTTTTTGGGGGGGTGAATAACCAAAAAAAGAAAAACTACAACCAGCTTTTTCCCCCCTGATTATTTTGGTAATTATTAGACTTCATCTTAACAAAATGTTAGAAATTGATTTCCTATTTGGTTCAAATTTAATACTGTAGGTCTTTTGTTCATGACCATGTACCATTTTTTAGGTCGTTGGCTGTTGCACTTTCCTTGTATACATTCAGCAGTTAATGCAGGTCGTCACAAAATTCACTAATTTGCCATCGTTTTTACTTGTACGGCTTAGTTGAGTCATGTTGTTCACTTTTGCACATAGGAACTATTTCACCATTCATTCACCAACACCCTCGAATGGCTGAAAAACTATAAAGAAACAGAGGATATGTTTAAAATGTATGATCGTTATTATTTTCGGTGTAATTGTTCAACAATATTATTTTATTTTGGATTACATGTACCTGCCAAGCATGCTATATGATTGCTGTAATTTATTTGAACTTTTAAGACAGTACTTCTTGCAGCATGTAGGATGTAGATACACCTTAGTGATAGCATATTGCAATTTGTTTGTTTTTTTTACAGGAAGAAGAACCAATTGACAGAAAGATCGGAAAACTGTGTGAATATGCTGCAAAAAATCCTTTATGTATACCCAAGGTACTATTTGATTCTTTTGGAGATTCTCATAATAATGAGTTTCCTTCGGTCATTCTATGTTAATTTTTTTTGGTTAAACCCAATGAAACATATAAGTAATGTACAAACACCCAATTTGAATTATTGTTCTAAAAGTAGCTGCTCTTAAAACATCATGAACTTGGAAAAAAATTATAGAACTTTTTGGTATTGCAACATAAAGCTGTAATTACAACTTCTTGGGGCCTGCAACATATAAATAATGATAGTAAGCATTCCTCTCCCTCTCTTGAGCACTTTTTTTTATGATTATTTTTTCCTTTGTCTTCTTTTAATTTTAAATTACAGGAAACTTGCATCTGTCCTGTACTTGTGCCTTTCACTTTACACTCTCCTACATGGTTTAGACGAGATTGCATTGAAAAAAAAGCTATTGTTACAATATCTATTCAATTAGAGAAATTATTCAATTAGAGAAATTATGCAAGTGCTATGCCTTGTGGCATATGTTATGCATAAGAGCAACTTAAATAGTACGAATATTTTTCTATTTTTATTTTTTGGTATCGGTATAAATTTACTACATTATTGAATACTTATTATCAGCCATAGTGTTATATCTATAGAATTTCTTTCTCTTGCAATCTCCTAATGAGGTGATAAGACAAAATACATATAAGGAGAGTTTGAAGAAATATTTGAACGTAGGTTTTCAAATTTTACTTGCCATGTTATTAAGAGAAATTATGTGGATGAATCATTTTTCTATTATTAAATAGGTATAGTGGTCTTCTCTATATTTTTGTCGACTTGGTTGTAGAAATTTTTTATTTTTTTTTTAACTGCAAATGTCAACATATATTTCCATGAACATTTGGATTGAAAGAGTAACGTGACTCCCATTTGTATTATATTTATAAGGTATTTTGTTTATGGATTTGAGAAGAGATTTATCAAGAAAAAAAATTATAAAAAAAATAGATGAAATGTGTATAAAATTATATTTTACATACTTTTTTTTTTTCTTTTTTAAATCATTTCTCAAATTCATAAAATGTAACGTGACCCCCACGCGTGAAGCGTGTGGGGGCAATTACAGTATTTATAATGAGTTACAGTTTTTATAACGAGAAATTACGTATATCACTGATTTTTTTATTACCATTCTACATTACCTCTTATATAAAGACTCATGATTGGTTCATTGTTTTAAGATAATTACTAAACAATTAATGAAAATAAATAATATCTTATCATGTAATTTAGTGAATTAAAAAAACAAATGATATATAACAATCTACTATGTTATAAAATTATGAGTTAATTACCTAAAAGTCTTATTTACAGATGTTATAGTAACTCAAATCCTATTTAAGATTTTTTGAATCAGTAAGTCCTATTTAGTAAAATTGAGAATATTATTAGGTTTTTTCTAATTTTTAAAATTAAGAACATTATCAATTTTGTATAGTAATGTTCAAGATAATTGTTTCACTAACTGATAATAAAAACAGAGCATGAGATTAAACATTTTTGCCCTTCTACTTATTGGTTTGATTCAACTATCCAATAAAATCGAGAACATTAACAGTTTTTTCCAGTTTTAAAACTATGAACATTATCAGTTTTTGCATTTTTAATTTTTTTTTTTTTCAATTTTGCACATCAATATTTCATAATTATGCTCCTTTATAGATACAAATTTTTAGTTTTTCACAGAAAAATAATTCAATTTTTTCAAAAAAAAAAAAAATTATGTTTTCAATTTGAAAGTTAATGTTTTGAAGTTTTAAAAATTAAAATAAATGTCAAATCATTAGGTTCCTTTATAAATAATCATAAATGATAAACAATTATTGTTTGAAGGGCAATTTCAATTATTAAAAATTTAATGAGACTCGAAGGTCTTAAAAAATTTTGTTAGAACTTAATGGAATCTAAGTTTATAAATTAAAACTTGTGTGTAAATATCTCTAAAAATATTCGGTGGCTTTGATTGATATGTGGCGCACATATTTGAATGTGATTGATTCATATAGTTATGAATTTTGTGTTGGTGTTTTTAAGAAACAACATGAGAGGTGGCTATTAGCAATTTGTTACATTCAATAATTTTATTTTCTTACCACTATCCTTCTCTAGGTTGAGCTTGTCTCAAGGATATTATGGATAAATTTCAGAAAAATTTTAATTGTAGTGTAAATTCTTCTTTTACATATGAAACTTGTGATAATTATACAAATAATTCTTTTAAGAAGAATTGTGCTGCCGTGAACAATCAATTTGGAGATTTAAGGCTACTACAACCACACGCACCAAAAAAAAAAAAATGTATATATATATCCATTGTAAAAGTGTATGTATTCATATTTCAAATATAATATCAATTTTTTTGTTTATGATTTGAGAAGTTTCTATTTTTAGAAATAGAAAAAAGCAAAAAACTAATATGGAAATATTGTTTGAATTATTTTTTAGAATTTCAAAAAAAATTAAATGAAAAGGAGATTGAAATGACGAGTCTTTTTCAAACTTTCATTATTTTTTGTTTTAAAAAAGTTAAAAAATCAAAAATCAAAAATAAAATTAATTGAAAAAATTTAAATGACACCACTCGCAAAAATTTCTAGAGTTACTATTGACAAATGGTATAAAGGATATTCCCATGAAATTGTGGTCTATGTGGTGTGTGCAGACATTATCTAGATGGTTTTGCTGGGAAAGTCTTGCTGACATACATAGTTCATCACAGAGATCATATGGCTATATCTACCAAATCATATAAAAGATTGGGGGGACACGAATTTGAATGTGTTCTGTTGTTGGGATACCTTCTGAAACTTACCCCACAACTCAATATGCAGTGTCCATCGATTATTAGGGACGTGCATGGGTTGGAGCAAAGTGGTTTAGGGGAAAAAAATAATCACAAAACTGTGATTCACAAAAACCTAACTCAAATAACTTAATCCAATCCCATTAAAATAAACAAGCTCATTCAACTTAATTCCACAAAAAAAAAAAAAAAAAACCGAAAGCTCATTCAACGTTCAACCCTGTTCTTCAAATAAATCACCTTAATTCAAAAGACAAACTATCACCCAAGAGTAACAAGAAATTAAGTCCAACTTGTTTAAAAAGAAATCAAACATACAAATAACCATCCAAATTAAGTCCAACATGAATAAAAGGAAATTAACAGTACACACTCACAAGCAAACCATCCAAATTAAGTCTAAGAGAATCCAACCAATCATCTAAATTATACAATTAAACAGTCCAAGAAATCCACAGTAAATAGCAACAGTTGCTACATATGCAACATCCACTCATCCGAACTCCAAAGAACCACAGTAGCTTCATCCAAACTCCAAACTTCATCAATCTACAAATATAAGCAAGAAAAATTTATTCAATAACAAAAAAAATAAAAATAAAAATTGTGAACTGGTCTCTCTGATGATGGTTAGAAATTTTTCTTGCACCAAATTCACTGGAAAGCTAAAGCAAGCCAAAGGTGGGATTTTCTTGCGCTATAAAAATTGTGAATTGGTTTTGACAGAAATCTTTACTCTTTAGCATCTGCAGTCATTGTAACGATAAGTAAAAGATGACATCCAGAAAGATGCGAACATTACTAACAATTTAGTTGTTCAAACAAGAGCATACACAGTTAGTAATGCATCTGCAGCTGTGGAATCCCAAGGCCTGTTGCAAGGAATTATAACATATGCTTAATGCTTTTATTAAGATTCTAGCCAATTAATGGCCTTGGAAAAATTAGCAAAATATCGGAAGATGTTTAAGCTTCTCTACATTGTGAAGATTTTCAAAATCAAGTTTTTGAGCAGGTTCTTATGCATTGAAGAGTAGCAGGTTCTTATGCATTGAAGAGCAATTCTTATTTCCAGTATAAATGGCCATTCCGTTAGGAAGCCAAGGAATAGTCATTCCATTCCTGCCCATAATCATTCTAGCAGCACTACCGTAGATTAAGGGATTGAGTGATGTGTCAGTCTTCAAGGTGGCTTATATGTAGAGTTAACAATGAAGTCCCCAAAACTCCAATGAAGCCTATCTGGAAAGCCATGTTGAGAAAGAGGAATGGACTTGATGAGATTACAACATCGGCAAGAAAAACATATGAATGAGAATTGGCGATTATGTGATCTGGGGCTAAATTGGAAGGAAGGATGATAGGTTGAGTGAAGCAGTATACCAGCCTAATATCTGTTCTTTATGATGCCGACATCTCAATCCCAATTGACCAGGGCAACAAACCAGTAAGCCTTAAATTGAATTATTATTATTATTATTTTCCCCATTTCAATGGGTTAATTCAAATGTTCCAAAGGATTGACCATAACTGATCAACTAAATTATCATATATTCCCATAGATCAGTTTAGTATATATCTGGGGAAGTATATAACTATATGATATGCAAAGACCAAACATTCAAATCATGTTTGTAGAGTCTTTATTAGAAAGCTAAGCTAAGTGAAATCTTGAGGATTTGGTGGAAATGGCTAAAATGGCATGAACAAAACTTTTTTTTTATGGCAATGACACTACCTCCCGCAAAACTAAAACAGACATTGTGTATCATATTGTCTTCCCACTTTAATCATCCAGTGATTAACAAGCTAAGAAAGCAGAAATTCATTTTGCATATATTCAAATAGCAAATGAGGATTAGCCAACAAGATTTAACTACAGTAGAATTCATGTAAATTTTATTATAGATAAGATATTTTTCTTGCTCTAAATTCACTAGAATAGGTGATTTAAAGTTCAATTGTGCACTGATTTTAACGGAATTTCGACTCTTTTAGCCCCTACAGTCATTTTAAAAGTTGGAGTAGATTAATTATTTGTGCCTAAAAAATTGCATTCCTCGTATAAAGACATGTTATTAGATTCATAAACAATACTACTACAAATTCTATCCCACATACAAACAACATAGGAGAATTTCACCACGTATTGTATGCAAACATAAAACGAGCTACGTGAGTTGCATACAATGATATTTCTCCAACGCAAAGGAGGCTTGAGATTGCAAGAATGGCAATTCTCTAAATATCATAAGATTGGAGAGCATATCTTGACATAGATATATGCATGCACGTGGTCTCTATTATTTGACATGAAATTTGAAAGGTAGATATACTTCTTTTTTCTATTTCATTCATAAACTATCATTTTCATCTATTTAGTTTCTAAAGTTTTGAATTTATGTTTGTATATTCCAATTGGAGACAATTACACAAACAGAAAAACTGTTAAAATTTAATTTCATTAAAAAAATAATTATTTGAGAATTTGAATATCTTAAACCATACAACAAAACACTAAATTTTTTTTTTTATTATTTTGAATAAATTACAACCTACAACCAACTTAGGCCTCGTTTGGGAACATACTTTTTTAGTAACTTTTTGATTAAAATATTATGTAAAAAACATTAGTATGTTTGGAATGACTTTTTAATTTTTTACGAAAAGATGTGCAAAAAATAGAGAGAAAAGAGAATCTTTAATTTTTTAGTATAAGTTGTTAGGTTTTTGATTTTTTTAGTGACTTTTGACTGTTTGGCTAAAATCACCACTTGCCAAACGAGGCCTTAATGGGTGTTTAATTGTATGATTTAAGTTGTTCAAATTATAAAATTATGTTTTTTTTTTCAACGGTTATTGATTTTTACAATCGTCTTTAATTGGACTATATGAATAAAAATTTAAAACTTAAGAGACTAAATAGACGAGATTGATTACTTAGAGATGAAATAAAAAATATTGACAGTTTAGAGATAAAAGTGAAATTAATCCTTAAAAGAAAAAAAAGAAGGAAAGGAAAGGAAAGGAAAGGGAGGGGAAAGAAACTAAAAAGCATGGACCAATCAACCAACCAACCAACCTGATGTAAATGTAGGGGGATCCGAGAAAGATCAGTCGTCAATTCTTATACTAAGGTCAAGTTTAGGAAGACTAAATAAGTGTACTTTTTGATTTTTTTTATATTATGTGTAGAAAAAATAAAAAGGAGATGTTGATTGATATGATCCAAAAAAAATAAAAAAATAAAATAAGTACACTTTTTTAGGTTAGCCAAACTTGACTTAATATGATAGTAGGCACGTGCTTGACTTTGTAGAAGTCTTCTCCTCCTTCTCTAAACCTCTGTTGGAGTGCTTCAGATGCGCCTTGAATAACCAATTCCCGGAGGGTGGTAATGAACCTCAATTCGTCCGGAATCTCCTTCAATTTTGGGCATCCATTAATTTCTAAACGGAAGAGACAGGGCATGGCTCCTTGTTCCACCCTCCACTCCTCCAAGTTTCGAAGGTAGTAGAGCTCTAAAGATATGAGTTTCGGAAAACCTCCACCATCACAGCCGCCATAGCCCCCTCCTCCTCCTCCACCGTTGATGCTGGATGGTCCAGAAGAACAAACCATCTCCTTCCCCATGTAGGAATTTTCACCCAAGAAGAGAGTCCTTAAGTTGGGCAACTTCTCCAATGTTGGCATTGGGTCTTCCTCTAGTTCAGTATTCCACATGGTTAACTTGGTGAGATTTGGAGGGAATTGGTCTGGGAATTTCTTAACCGGATTCAGGGACCCACGTAATTCCAATTTGCGAAGATGGTGGCATCCTAAAAGTTGCCTTAAAAGGCTTTGTTCTTCTTCCGTTTCGAAATCTCCAACAATCATGAAGGATAAAGATGGTAGAAGAAGGCTGTTTGAATTGTTGAGGAGGATTGGAGATTTAAGGATCACTGCCAAGTCTTTGGGGTCTCTCGAATGAACTTCTACTTTTCGAAGATTTGTCAGTTTGGGAAAGTATCTGACGTCACAATACTCTGTATCAAAGGCTTCTAGCGTCTCCAATTTGCTCAAACCATCCAATCGCAACTTACTTGTACCAGTCAGCTCGATTCTACGAGGAAGATATAGATGTCTCAATTGTTCCAACCTCCACAGGACATTGGGTATAGATGTAGATGTCTCAATTGTTATATCGAAAGGACTACGAAAATGTAGAAGTTTCCTTAGATCTAGGGTTTGGAGGAATCTCAAGTTGCCTATAGAAGAAGGCACACTTTTAATATAAGAATCGTTTATATTTAAATATCTCAAGTGAAACAAGTTTCCTATGTCTCCGGGCAACTTCCCTTCCTCTGTTTTGATTTTCATGCTATTGGCATCTAAAATTCTAAGCAACTTGAAGCCCTTGAGAAGTGATTTTATCTGTTCCCAACCCGAAATTTCCAAACCGTTTCCAAAGAAGTAAAATTGGCATGACCGCAGATGGTGGTGATTAGTTAATTCTTCGAGATTAATATATTCTCGCCTTATATTATTCGCATCATGATCACCCAAATAGTACACAGCAAGCCTACGAATTTTGGTCAACGGTGACGATGAAGATGAAGAGGCAGAGTTCTCCCACTTTAGTTGTTGATTATCAAAGGCTTCAACACGAACAACCTTGAGAAAATTCTCCTCTTGGGCTTTCAACAAGCATAAGTCCCGCATGAGATCATGGAGGCGACAAAGTTTAATCCTTTTTCTAAAGCTTGTTCCTTGTTAATTGGACTTGAACCATGCATCTCTGTGCTAGTTCACTTAAATAACTCATTCCAACATCCAACGTTGTCTTTTCTACCTCCATTTCTCCTACTTGTGCTGGTGGTACTGATGATGACACAATGCCTTCAGCCATCCACATTTGAACTAATTTTTCTGCACGTATATCATAATCTTCAGGAAAATGACTCAAATACAAAAAGCATGCCTTTAGATGGTACGGCAAGTCTTGGTAACTTAAAGCTAAAATGTCTGATACTAGAACTCCTCCATGGCTGCCTTTACCCTTCTTGTTTAAGTAATGACGGATGTTTTTACTCACCTCTTTCCACTCCTCCATCTTGTGCTTGTTTGCTAGAAGTCCTCCTAATACCACAATGGCCAACGGTAGACCCCCACAGTGCTTCACCATTTCCTTCCCTAACTCCATCATTTCAGTGCTCGGCTCAAATTCTGTAAAATTACATGATACAAATACACACAAAAAAGTGAGTCATCTATCATTATGTTTGCGAATTAAGAGTAAAAAATAACGTAAAGTTTGCAAATTAAGAGTAAAAAATAACGTAATATATTAATTATTGATATAAAATAGAAACAAATGTAGCATGGATAACCTAGTACCTGTGTTTATCAAATGTACAATAAGTTATTTGAAGAAGATAATTGGGTGATACAAGTTACTCCTGAGCCCAAAATTAGCCACCTCCAAATTTTGAACAAATTATAATGGTAGTTCCTGTACTTTATTGCATGTGTCATTTTAATTCATATACTTTTAATTAGCTCGATTTTAACCTTGAATTTATAGTTTTGTCTCAATTTGAACCAATTGATTACAACTCTTAGTATTTTTTTTTTGAAAAATACACACATAAGCGTCACGTGCCGTATTTTTAAGGATAAAATTATAAACGTACTTAACTCAATTAGTTAATCTCAACTAATTTAGTGATAATTTTTCTTAAAAAATACTAATATTATTAATTGAACCAAATTTAAACAAAATCTAAAATTAAATATCAAAATTGAGTCAATTGAAAGTATAGGGATTAAAATAACACAAAAGTTAAAATATAGGAATCACCGGTATAATTTGCCCACAAATTTTTATAATTTATCGACTTATCTTTTCTCTCAAAATACTAACAAGTCCTGTAAACTTTTCTTTAGATTAATAAATAAAGCTACTAATTCAATAAACATGGTTTTATCTACCTTAAAAAATAATATGCATCTATCTATTTGGAAAATATTATTTTAAAAGGTAGAGTTACTGAAGATGGTTAAATATTTTTTGTTTGTCTTGACACCATAAATTAATTTTATGTCGATAGTGGCCAAATCTAATCTTATTGATTGTAGCCCGTCGATTTTGGTCTATCGGTTTAAACTATAAATCATCTTTTTTAGAGTAACTTTGACCACATTCATTATTGCTATTTATTTTATTGTAATGCAGGTTGTTTGTACCTATTTTCTAAAGTTATATGTCGACAGAAGTTTGGTGGTGATCTTGGCAAGTCTTGGATTTCAAGTTGAAGTGTGGGGGGGCAAAAAGAGAGTTGGAAGCAATTATGGACAGTTATGAGCAGTTAAGGAAATGGCTAGAAAGAAGGAGATAATCTTTGAAAGAGCAAAGGAAACTGGCTAAAAAGATGGGAAGGTTTGGAGTGGCTGTACAGCGAAATGGGCTGATTTTGGGGCTCATTTTAATAATTCGAACCGTTCATATTTTAGAATACATCAAGTAGAACATGCCTACAAAATATCAAGTTAATCGGATATCGTTTACCCATTCATCTACTCACATTTGTATCTACAAAAATAAAAAAATAATTGTAATTTAAAGTATTAAAATAAATACAAATGTGTATGAATGAATGTTTAAAAGATATCCGATTAACTTGATTTTTTAAAGACATGTTCTACTTAATGTATTCTAAAATGTGAACGGTTCGGATTATTAAAATGGGCCCCGAAATGAACCCATTTTGCTGCACAACAGTGGTTGTTGTGCCCTCCGCACAGCAGCTACCCCAACCCGACTTAAATGGGTAAAGAAACTACCTATAGCAGTTGTTGAGCAATTGAAATCGTGGACAAAAGCTTATAAATAGGCTCAAGGAGGAAGCAAGGACATTAACAAAAACATTAAACTCATCAGAGTTTTTTTTATTTAGGAGTAGATTACTTTAACATATCATAGGAGTATTTTCTTTAGGAGTAGTCTTAATTTAGTGGTTTTGTAATGGTTTTCTGGTTCTTGTATTCAGTAAACTTTTTTCTAATTCTTTTGTATTTTTGTTTTTGTTCTTGTTCAATTCTTTGTAACAAGTAACAATTTCCGCAATACAATATCAGTTTTTAGTTTGTCTCCCTCTGTCGATAACCTCCAAAGAAAGTCCTCGAATCTGTCAAGGCATATGACACTAACCACAATTGCTTGATCTGTTTGTTGTTTGTAAAAGTTTAGTTTCTCCGTCGAATCTTCACTGTTGATTTGACCTAAACTAAATTTTTGCTAACATAATTTGGCACGTCCTGTTGGAAAATTAGTTTATATAAGGTTTATTTTGGGCCAACTTTGAGCTCAAAATTGAGTGGGCCCTAAATGTCTTTTGGGGTGGGTCTGAAAAGGTGACGCGTTCCTTGTCGCATGGCAAGTCACACGGTGATGACGGTTCGTCAAAACCATTTATGAGTGAATGGGAAGTTGACGTCGTTTTCGAGTTCGTGGAATTGGACATTTAAGTTTTAAATATGGGTTTCCTTCTGAGGCTTGTCCCACATTGAAACTTGAAGAGAACTTATGTGTGTATATAAGTTCTAGGTGTACAACATTGGGTTGGGCCCCAAGGGGCACCCCAAGTTTGTAGAAGAGAGGAGTTATAGACAAATGGAACCTTGGCCCAAACCACCATACACGCGCGCTGCCGCCGCCGTGCCGGGCACGAGTGTGGGTCAGGTTGGTTCTTGTATTAATTTTTTGGACAAAATTCATTTGAATTTTTTCAAAAAATTATTGCAAGAAATTAATTCAAAATTTGAATTCTAGATTTCTGTCCATTTCTAGTCTGAAATTCAAACAGATTAAACAGGCCAAAACTGTTTGCACCCGGACAATTTTAAAACTACTAAAACTGTCCAACAGTTACAAACAGATCTGTTTGAATTTCAAACAGTATCTGTCCAGTTTGAATCAACACCCGTTCACTTCCATTTTGTACCTATTCGGGTCTGCTCTTTTGCCTATAAATAGAGACCATTTCTCCAGTCTTTTGCATCCAGAAAATAGACAGAAAATTTCATTTTCTTGCTGTCCAACTTTGTTCTATTGCATATATTCTTCATATATTATTTTAGGAAAAATTCAGAGAGTTATAGAACACAAGGTTCTAGTTCGCCGGACAAATTTGTTTGAAATGCTACTACAAATTTGTAAAGATCATTGTATCCTAGGAGATAGACGTCACATAACCGTAAGCACCAAAGCGGGGCGAATCTGTCTTAAGGACAGAGTGTCTCACACTCGACTTGGTCTTTTATTATTTTTTTCCATTCGGTTCGGATAAAATAAATTATGTAAGTTATTTATTTTATGTTGTTTGGTTTTATTTCAATTTATTTTATTTATACAGAAGATTGTTCCAACAGTCTGGTGGGACCTATTTAATTTGGAGTTATGGCGATGAAGAAGCAAACTAATGCTTATGGAATCATACCTTCAAGTGCCATGTCTATGTCTTATACACCCATGGATGCAAATTGCCAATGGAGTGGCAGTATTCCCATGGGTATAAATTATCAATGGAATGTCTCATCTTCCAAGTCTAAAGATTGCCAATGTTATGGCAATGATTCTAATATCTATTGCCAACATGATGGCATGACGTATGATATGATTTGGCATTGTAAGGATGAAATTTATTAGCGCAGGAGTGAAAGTTTGGCCATGAGATGACAAATTAATTCTCTTTATCAGCAAAGATTTCAAATAATTTCATTATCTCCATATTATTTGATGGAAAGAAATTTAAATTATTTTGATGAAAAAATCCATCAACTTGAAGGCCAAATTTATTTAATTGATGAAGAAATTCGATATTGGGAGCATAATTTAGAAGGCTTAATGGCCAAGAAAAAATTAAGGTATAAAAATAATGTAGCTTGGGAGGCTAATACCCATATTCCTAAGGAGCCAATTATTCATGAAATGCCAAGGAATGTGACTCGAAGGGTTAGTATACCAAGTCATGAAGATAACATGATTTTGGAGAATTTTCATAGGCCAATAGTGGCTAAAATAGAAAAACGGCTCATTCTCTCAAAAGATGTTAAAAATTCATCATAAGATGATAGGGCAGATACACTTGGGAGGTATGGTTTGAAGCCAAAGATGGCTGAAAATTATGAACAACTCACAATTGTTGAATGTGAATTTTTTGACATTGTTCAAAGTGTTAAAATTAATGAATTTTTCATAACATTCAACTAATTTGAGTTTTGGAATCCAACATCCACTGTGGATGTGTGGATCACACCAAAAGTTAATGTTTGTGATATGATTTGAAAAACAACAATGGTTAGAAAATGTCATTGGGGTTGTCCCAGGTTTTATCCTTTATATCATTTAAGGCAAAATTCACTTTTACTATTTTGCCTTAAATGAGGGGGGCATTGTTGATACTATAAATTAATTTTTTGTCGATTATGGCTAAATCTAATCTTATTGATTGTGATCCGTCGATTTTGGTCTGTCGGTTCATACTATAAATCATCTTTTTAGAGTAACTTTGACCGCATTTATTATTATTATTATTTATTTTAGGCGGATTTTGTCAAAAAATTCCTCATAATAAAACTTTAATGCATTAACGATAAGCGCAAAAAAAAAAAAAAAAAATCTTAAAAAGTCCAACAAATATCACTATTATCAAAATATTAAATTTTAAATAATATAATTTTTGATGTAAATGTCAGTTTTTAATAAAATTAATATTTTTAAAATTTTCTCATCAAAATCTATGTTGACTATGAAATTCTTAAAAAAAATTAAAAAAAAAATATTAATTACCTGTAGATGCTTTCTTTTCAAACAATTTCCAACTCTCATCTTCAGTTAAAGTCCTCAGTTCATGCGGTTGATCAGCGTATGAAGCAACTTCTTTTTTGCGAGTAGTTAGCAGTATTTTGCTACTTGCATCTTTTTTATTCGGGAAGGCCGGACTCAAAATTTCCCAATCTTGAGCCTTCCAAATGTCATCGATAACCACCAAACATTTCTTCTGACTTTGGACTTGAAAAAGTTCCTCAACTAGCTCACCAAGTTTCATTATTTTGATTTTTTTCCTCTTGTCGAGGGACGGAGAGGTAAGCCCGATTAGAATCCCTTCCAAAACTTCTCTAAGATTACATTGTTGAGATATAAAAGCCCAGGAAAAACAATCAAAATGACGCCTGACATCATTGTGATGGTAAACTTCCTTAGCAAGGGTGGTCTTGCCAAGACCACCCATCCCCCAAATGGAAACAACTCGGCATTGTCTCTCTTCCTTCACCAAATGTTCTACTATTTCTGTCAAGTCTTTATCTAGGCCGACAATGTCCTCCTCCATGATATGAGGATAAGACTTCCTTAGCAGTCGTTGCGTCTCATACCTAGAAGAACTCAAGCTTTCTCCTTCACTTGTTGCTCTTACACCATGTTTTTGTAAACTTGCCGTGATGCTAGAGATCTTGGTTTTGATGGACTCAATCTCAACCCCAACCTTATGGATGGCTATACAATCCTTGATCACACAAGAGAACCTCATGAAGACATTGAGGATACCTGTTCTCCTCCTAAATGCAACTTTGATGATGTACGTGTCAATTACATCCTCTGCATCATAAGCAGCTTCTCTGATCTCCACAACCCAGTTGCGGACCATCTCGTCTCCTCCTTCTTGCCTTGCAGCTGCATCTTTCAAAAAGCTTTGCATCCGCTTTAACTCGGTTTGCATTTCATCGACCTGGCCCTTTACCCCACGCAACAATTTGGCTTCTTGGATGAGCACATTGCCAAGCCTTTCTACCACAAAGGATATGAAAGGCCCAGTGACAATATCTGCCATAATCGCTGAGTCTTCTAGTTTCACTAATTCTAAAAAAAGAAAAAAAATTGAAGCACAGCTAAGCTGGTTGCCTTTCCAGACAAAGACAAGTAGTTTTTTTTTACAGCAAAGAGCAAATTCTATAAAGAGTAGTTTTTTATAGCAAAAATAAGTGGTGATATGGATAATGGACACAATGCCTACGTATTTCGGTTTTATGAACAACTCTGACTCAATGTGTTTCTGTGTGTGTGTCAGAGCTCAGATGGCTATACAATGACAGAGAATGACTCCAACAACAAACATATACATATACTATATATAGTGGTGATAAACTTCTTCGATCAATAGTTCAAGAGAAGTTAATTTTAAAAGGCAAACACAGGGGACTAGTGATCTACAATATTCCCCATTGACGTACCAACTAAGCATGGATCCGCTATGCACAATGCATTGCGTAAGTTGTATCTTCATCAAGTGTGAGATGCTCATGATCATATACCTATGTAGCAATCAACGGGCTTGATCATATTATCTCATTAGGGCATTCCACAGGAAGCATTTTCTCCTCTGCTTGGAATCCTAACATCTTCCTTTGCCAACCGCTAAGGCAAAGAATAATGCAGCAACAAAATCGAAAAGAAAGATGCTAAAGAAACTACTCAATCTTTTTCTTTCAATTGAAGAAAAGAATTGATAAGTACTACTCCTTTCTGGAACTCCAACACAGATTGGGACTTCAAAACTTGAGTAGTAAGTTTGTATTTGCATCAAAGAAAAGTTTTTCAAGTTGCACGTGACTGTATATCTATGTAGCAATCTTCCTTTGCTAATCTCATAGGCAAAGAATTATGCAGAAAAATAAACAGAAAGGGAGATACTTTGCTATATTCTTCTCTTGTAGCATGGTATAATTAATTCTATGCACTTTCTCAAGTTTTTGTTATTTTCTTTTAGAAACTTAAGCTGATACAGATTGAGGATTCAAAGCTTGAGAATTAGTTCAAAAGAACTAAGTTGATACAGAAAAACAGATTGAGGGTCCAAAACCTGAGATGTAAGTTGTATCCAAAAGGAAAAGTTGTGTGAATTGAATATGATCATACATCTACATAGCAATCTTTCTTCTTTTTTTCCTTTTTATTTTTTTTTTCAGTAAAAGAAAAGGGTAGGAGGGGGCAACCACCACACTTGATCATATGTAACAATCAACAAACTTGATCGCATGATCTCATTAGGGTATTGCACAATCAGCATTTTGTCCTCTGCATAAAGCTAATGGAATTCCGACAACTTTTTTTGCCAACCAAAGAAAAGTGGCATACTAAAAAACTACTCAGTTACTTTCAATTTGAGAAAAGAAGAAAAAATATGTTCTGTTCTTCTCTTGAAATAATTGATTCCAAGTCCTATGTCAAATGTACTTATTGTATTTAGAAACCGAAGTTGATAGAGATTGAGGAATTAAAATTAGGAAAATGTAAACGAGTTCAAGAAATTTTTAATCATTTTTTGGTTAATATGCTGACAATACGGTCAACAGAATTCCATTTGGAAACTACAAAATTTTGTTGTTCACTGCTAGCAGTTCAATAACTAGGAGCCAAATTCAACAAAATCAATCACTAAAGTTTTAGGCAGCATGCATTTTGTCTTGAACATGGGCACAGGAATCTATATAAGCAAAACTCATGGCATACTAGAAAAATAAATTTGGCTATCAGAAAGCCCATTAAGTCAAGCAACGACACAACCCAATATTCTTTGGATGCAATCTACGTTCCCACAAGCAACGACACACATTTGTTCAATGTTCTCACAGTCCTTTTAAAGCAAGGAGGCTTTTCAGTGCATCTTGGAAATGCATTCCATCAAACATGAAATCCTTCACATAAAAAATTAGTCAATGTTCTATCCAAGCAACAATCATGACCTACTTAATTCCATTCAGTGCAGATAGAATCATAGAGCACTCATAACATGTTCCAACATTGCATCAACAATGTGCAGATAGATTCTTGCTTTCAATCTACAAAAAATCACCATGAAGTTGAAGTCATAGAAAGTACAATCCAAGAGAGGGAAATAGGAGCTCTTGCGCAGGTTGTTATTCTACTTCTATCAGAAGCCATGTCCAATTTTGAGACCAAAGAAAGTTGAATTTCTGTAAAAATTGTATTTTGAGTTAACAATATTGATCTCTTCTTTACAAATTCTCTGTATCAGCAGTTTACATGATCCATTCAGAAGCATTCATCTCGACTAGCTTGTCATGTTGCTTATTAACTATGAATTTGGCTAGTTGCATGAGGCATGTATATATGTATATATATATATCAAAATGATAAGACCAGTCTAAAAATTGTTCTAGTGTAGTTGGGAGTGTTAGTCATGTTAGAATGATTTGTGAACTAAAAACAGAAATGTTTTGCTTCTTTTGTAAAAATATATGTATTATTGATTGATAAAAATATATGTATTATTGATTGATATTGATTGTCGTATATATTGATATTGATTACAATTACAAGGATTCCTATATATAGAAGAAAATGTGGTAGTAGGTGTAGGAGTGAAGTGGAGGTGGTAGGTGGAGTGTGTGATAGTGGAGGTGGTAGGTGGAGATAAATTCTAACAGGAGGTGGTAGGTGTGGAGTGTGTGATAGTGGAGGTGGTAGGTGTGGAGTGTGTGATAGTGGAGGTGGTAGGTGTGGAGTGTGTGATAGTGGAGGTGGTAGGTGTGGAGTGTGTGATAGTGGAGGTGGTAGGTGTGGAGTGTGTGATAGTGGAGGTGGTAGGTGATCATGATAAATACAACTCACATATTCCTTGAGCAGCCCATATGTGGCTGTGCTACAGATTTAAATGTTCAAAACTGAGATAAAATAAAAACACTAGCAAGCAGTGTTAGGTGTGTTATATGACACCACAAAACATAGGATTGCACAAATTTTATTTATTTATTTAGCCCAAGAAAAGAGCATTCTTTAATATATAATATATATATACAAGTAACACAGTTCAGGAAGCATCAACAAGCCTTACAAACACTCAAGCAAAAACAAAAAAGAACACCAAAGGTAGCATATAGACATAAACTGAGACAAGATGCGAAGCTAGCAATAAATTGGCTAGATACTGTTGTCATGTAGGATCATCCATCATTAAGTGGAAAACGGATCTCTCCATGAGAAGTGGTACGGGAAAATGCTGCAAACCAGACTACGGAAAAAGTTGCTGTGACTCAAACTCCGTGGCCATTGAGATAATTGGCATGAATGAAGAGATTGTGTGAGATAACACCCCCACCTGGATATCTTTACTGCCCTCCATCTGCTGAAATAGAGATTCAAGAGTTGGCAATAAAATATTAATGTTGAGAAAATTATGCTTAAAAGCCCATTTAAGAGCAACAAGAGCTGCAGCCAATGGCGCACAAAGCCTGTGCACATCAAGCTCTTGAATTTTGAATTTCAAATTCTTTTACATCTCGAAATTTTGGTGAATGGACAACATTAAAATAAAAAATGTCTGGATATGTAGACTATTTTAATAGAGGTTTTCTCATAAACTTATTTTGACAGAAATTTTGGCTCTTTTAGCCTCTGCAGTCATTGTTGGAATAAGATTAATGGGAAAATTATAATAAAAAAATAAAAAACTAAAGTTTGACTCTTTTAACAAAATAATAAACCTGAATTTTTAATTTTGTCAATTTAAATACTAATTTTTTGATTAGCTTTCAATCTAAATCATTTGCATATTTTTATTAACAAAAAAATGATATTCTATTCATTAAACTTAACAAAAAATGATATTTTAAACATTGAGTAAAATACTCTTTTTTTCATCAATTTTACTTACTAAAATAGACAAATAATTTAAATTAAAAATAAATTAAAATATTAAAATTTAAATTGATAAAATTAAAAATAGATTTATTTTGCTGACAAAAGTCCAACACTCAATTTCAAGATTAATTTATGTGTGCTTTTTCTGACGTCATATGTGCTCCTACCTAGGCACAAGACATCACAATACTACTTTTCTAATTTCTTCAAAAAAAAAAATCGCCCTCTCCGAGAAGACATGTTATTAGATTTTTTGACAAACAATACAAAAAAAAATTGTATCCCGCACACAAACAACAGAGAGACGTGTTGCCCTACTTCAATGAAAGGGGTGGCCACGCAACGCGGTGGGAGTTTCGTTCTGTGTTTTTGTTTTTTTTTTTTTTTTTTGATAAATACAAATACAATCTTACTAGTGTTTAAAATATGAATTATTACTTGTAGTTTTAGAAATGATAGTTTAAGTTATTAATTAATAATAAATTATTATTTTTATCAATAAATAATCAAAGCAATTATTAATTTTTAATAATATTATAAATATATTTTAATTAATAATTCAGATAATTTTATTGTTATATAAGAAAATAATTAAGATTTTTTTCTGTTAATTCTATTAAATAAAAAAATTCGATAAGAGGGTATCTGTAATTTTTAAAATCATGAGAGACAATCTATGTTTTAAGCAAATCTTAAGAAATGTGTTCGTATTTTTTTTTATTCAAATCAAAACAAAATCATTTTAGAACTACTGTTAGAGTAAAGAAGATCCAAACGCAAATGTGATGATATTTAGGAAAAAATGTAAATTAATGGTACACTAAAAAATATTTACATTTCCAGGATGATATAAATTTTATGTATGCATGGTATAAATCCTTTATTATTTGGTATAAATCTTTTCTATGTGTCGTAATGATACTAGAAAATATTTCATTTATAATGTAATTATTTTTTTATTTTTCCATTATTTTATAAGTTTTTCAAAATTTTATTTTGAGATAAAATTCTTCCACCCACATCAAACGGCTCCCTCTTTTCATTTCATTGCCGAACAATGCATAAGTCACTAGTAAAACCACTCCGAATCGTGTAAAATATCACTCAATCTGTTAAAATCGCATCGATTTGCATTAATCTATATCTCTCTATCCACTAATAGCAATTTAAACTTTAAAATTTATAATTCGTCTTCAAAATTGCTCCGCTCCGCTATAGTTAATATATATATATTTTTTAACCTATAATGAAATATCAAAATAAAAATGAGTGAGAGAGAATTAAGATGTGAAATTTATTACAAATCAGTAGTTATATATATGAAAAATATAATGTAAAATTAGTTTGTTTATATATATATATAAAATATTATGCAAGTTAGTATTATATATTATATAAATACTTAATAACTAGTTAGAATATTCTTCAATACGTCAACCGTCCAAAACCGCTCAAATTGTAATTTACTAATTTTCTAATTTTGTTAATCCACCATTCAATTTATAATTTTACTCTCAAATCATCCGAACTACACCGCACATCACAGAAAATGATAGAAAGTGAGCAACACCTCGTGAGGGAGGAACTTGAAGAATAGAGATCTATCATA